CATATTCACTTTTATAAACACACACACACACTTTTATAAACACGATGACACTCTTAAACACGCATATTCACTTTTATAAACAAACACACGCACACACATTTAATAAACACACACTTAATAAACGCACACACACTTGCGCACACACTTTTAATAAACTCACAAACACGCTTAATAAACCCACACACTCTCCCTCTCCAACACACGCACTCTTATAGACACACAGATACTTATCTCATACACTCACACTTTTATAAACACAGACGCACATTTCATAAATACATAGACACACACTTTAACACACACACACACACATTTATAAAGACATACACATGCACACACATTTAATAAACACACTAAATATACACACACTCTCCCTCTCAATCACACACACTCTTATGAACATGCACACACACACACTTATCACATGCACACACACTTAATAAATGCACACATACTCTTATAAACAGACACACACACACTTTTATAAATGCCCACACATGCACAGACAATAAATAAACACACACACACACTCTCCGTCAATCACACACTTAATGAATGCACACATGCACACACACTCGTATAAATACACACGCTTATTACACACACACTTTTATAAACACACACACTTTGATAAACACATGCACACACACACCTAAAAAACACACACACTCTCCCTCTCAATCACACACACTCTTATATACGCACACACACACACATACTTATCACATGCACACACACTTAATAAATACACACATGCACACACACTCTTATAAATACACACACTTATTACACAAACACACACACACACACACACACACACAGAGTTTTATAAATACACACACTCTGATAAACATACACATGCACACATATTTAATAAACACACACACACACACACACACACACACACACACACACACACCTAATGAACACATACAGTCTCCCTCTTAATCACAGACACTTATAAACACACACACTATCTCTATCATACACACGCACATATTCACACACTTAATGCACACACACACTTTTATGAACACACACACACGCGCACACACACACTTATAAAACACACAATCTCTCTCACACGTACATTCACTCACTCTCTTTATCATACACACACGCACACAAACTCTCTCAATCTATTTTGCATGCACACACACGCACACACACACACACACTTTTATAAACACCCAAACACATACACACTTAAACACACACACTTAATAAACACACAAACACTTACTCTCTGTTTCTCTCACATATACACACACTCGCTCCTAGACTGTCAATCATACACACACACAAACTCTCACTCTATACGCGCACACACACACACACACACTGGTATCACATGCTAGGGATCAGTGTGTGATCTGTGCTTGTGTTCAGTCTCGGGACCCTCAGGAATGCTGGTGTGTGTGTGTGTGTGTGAGTGAGTTTTCTTCATTTACAGTTTCCTTTCATGAAAGCACATCTCATTTTAACCCAATAAGCAGCACAAATCAGCAAAGCCAACAGACATAATTCAGTTTCTGTGTATTTACTCGGCTCTAGACACAACAACAACAACAAAAAAATCACAAAAACAACAAAATTACTGGGGCAACACAGTGGCGCAGTGGTTAACAATGTCACCTCACAGCAAGAAGGTCACTGGTTCGAGTCCCGGCTGGGTCAGTTGGCATTTCTGGGTGCACATTCTCCTGGTGTTCCCGTGGGTTTCCTTCGGGTGTTTTGGTTTCCCCCACAGTCCAAACACATGCGCTATAGGTGAATTGGGTGAGCTAAATTGGTCGTAGTGTATGAGTGTGTGTGTGAACGAGTGTTGAGGCTGGAAAGGCATCAGCTACGTAAAATGAATGCTGGAATAGTTGGTGGTTCATTCACAAAAATAATAACATTCTTAAACTAAATATGTTTAAATGGCAAACTGATAATAAACACATAAAAAAAACTATAAAACTAAGGGAGTTTATAATGAAATAAAAACTGAACAGACAAAAGTCAAATAAAAAGGACAAACAAATCCTACAAAATGACCAAAAAAATTTAACAAAATAAAAGAAAAAATAAAGAATAAAATATAAGGAAAAAACAACAACAACAAAAATCTGAATGAAAAATAACAAAAAATAACAATAAAAAAATTATAATATAAAAAATATTATAATATATAATTAATAAATATTAAATATTCATATTAAATATTAATTAATTAAAAATAACCAAGAAAATAATAAAAATATTAATAAAAACCTAAAATAGTAAAATAA